ACACACACACACACACACACACACACACACACACACACACACACACACACACACAACCCCTGAATCAATGTCCTTATTCTGAAATTAACCTTCACGAAGTCAGTCTCTAAAAATCACATCTGATGTAACAGATGTTTTCACTGTCATTAAACGTATCCTAACATCAAAATAGAACAGTAAGCTGTAATTTACACCCAAAGAGGTAATTAATGGAAGCAATTAAGAAGGACAGTGAGAGTACAGGTAGTACCTGCCCATGGGTCCCACAGCGACGGTGCAGTTCCCGCCCAGCGTCAGGTTCCCGCCCTTTGTGAAGGCCTCGACGGCCCTCCGGTGGTTCAGGATGATCACCAGGTCGGACACCTGAGGGAGGACCATTCAGTTAGTTATTCATCTCTAAGCTACACTATGGTGGAAAAGGTATGAATCAGCTGTTATATTGATGCTCTTCTTCCTTCCTTTAATAATAAAAACAATATAATTCAGACGCCATATGTTTTTATTTACATTTGAAATAGTGTTTTTCCCCAAAATGAAGAAGAATTTCAGGGTTCACTGGCTCAGATTCTTTCCTTGTCTGGATGAATAAAGTTCAGTCTTATGAAATAAAGATTTGTAGGCGAGGACTCACCTCCACTCCGATCTCGAAGCCTCCTCCCAGGCCGGCGATGCCGATGGCAGACGGTGCCGACCAGCCTGAATACAAACAGTAAAGATCAGATGAGTTCCAGATAAATCAATGAGAATACAGAAGAACCTTCACGGAGAGATGTCGCTCTTTTCACGATCACAACTTCCACCCAGTTAATAGCTTCACACAATTTAGACAATCAAATGTTCACCGCAGAGAGAACGGCAGCATCTGAACCATGACGCAGCAGTTATTATAAGTTATGAATTATCTGCTTTATCTTTTTAATCCTGGTTGAATCCATGTAAAACACTTTAATGTTTATCATTATATGATTACTATTGTTATTTCTATCTTTGACCTCTCCTCTTCTTCACAGGCTCTTTCTGTGCTGCCTTTATTAAAGCGGATGTTTCGGATTGTTTTCGTCGGTGCCAGTGTTTTGTTCAAACTGCTCCTTTAATGTGGAAAAAACAGCTAAAAGCCCTGCAGAGGAGGAGAGTCCGCTCCGTGTGATTTTTTGGCACGACGACAAAACGGCACTATCCTCCACCGCGTAAATGAGCTTCATGATGACACTCATCAGATGACTGCACGCCACGGGGAGATCTCACGGAGCTCTTTGATACCACAGCAACGCAAAACATCCCGAAAAGAAAAGAATGTGAAGGAAGAACATGAACAGGATTCCCTGCCCGATACTGGCGTCTTGCCTCCTCCTAGACCTAGAGAACCAGAACCTAAACAACCACTAGAACCTCCCCAAAGACCACTACAGGCTACTGCATTCTAGTCAAAGACCAATAGAACCACTCCTAGACCCAGAACCGACACAACCACTAGAACCTCCTCAAAGACCAATACAACCGCCTGAAAGACCAGTAGAACCTCCTACTAGACCTAGAGAAGGAGAACCTAAACAACCACTAGAACTTCCCCGAAGACCACAAGAACCTCCTGAAAGGCCACTAGAACCACTCCTAGACCCAGAGGACCAGAACCTAAACATCCACTCGAACCTCCCCAAAGACTGTTACAACCTCCTGATAGACCACTAGAACCTCCTCTTAGGCCCAGAGAACCAGAACCGACACAATTTATATACTCTTGATGAAAATGGGACTAGAACTTTGCGGTCAGTCAGTCTGGGTCTCACGTCTGTCGGCCAGTCTGGCGATGACGATGCCACTGCCTCCTCTGGCGGTGATCATGAAGCCGGCCTTGATGACGGAGATGATGGCCAGACCCTCTGCCTTCGCTATCACATGAGCTGTACAAAGAAAACAACACAACCATCAACGTCTCTTCATAGTCTTCCTCAGACGGAGTACTAACGAACAGTTTTTCGTTCTCTTACCAGGGATGAGTTTGTCCGGTCCGTTCCGGTTGGAGATTTCGGTGAAGTCTCTCAGGATCTTGGCGGCTTTCTTCGCCTCTGACTTCAGGTTGGAGGGTATTGGGTTACTCACTGCAAAACACACAAATTGCACGGCTTATTAAAACACCAACAGCTCATTCACAGTGGATTTGACCTTTCCCATTATATTTTAACCCCACATCAAATCAAAGCTTCCGTCGCACAAAGAGCGGAGTCACAGAACTCGTCAATGAGCTCATTGTTGGCTTTAATTGATTTTATCTAAATCTGCGGCGAAGACGTTTTAGAAATCTCTGAATGTGTTTTTTTATTGGTGGAACAGACGAGACCTGTGTCACTGGATTGTGAGCTTATTGGTTTAAAAAAGCAATTTATTTGTTGTTTTAGCCGACAACACTAATCCATTCATGTCATTCAGCTCTCATTGAGACCTAAAAGTAACAAATCGAGTGCATGGAAAGAGTTCTACATGTCGGAACCGCAAAATTAAATCCACCGTCTCAGGAGCTACGCAGCTAATTTAGTAGTAAAACGTGTGCAACGACAACAAAGGCATTCTGTTGTCATTGAGAAGTCCAGCTTCCTGACTGTGTCATGTGTCAGGAATGTGCTGCTGATGCAGACTGCTCTCTGCTGCCGGACTGCTGATACCGTCTGACAGCAGAAAACAGGTTCTAGTGGTCTTCATGCATGTTCTGTTCATCTATGAGGAGTCTGTTCGTCTTAGAGGAGGTTCTAGTCATCAGTGATAAGGTTCTAGTGGTCTTCTTTAATCATGTTGGTGGAGTCATTAAACACCTCGTCATGTGACTCAGTAATGAAGCAGCTGATGATCTCATTGAAAGGTGAAACAGGTTACAAATGTGAATGACGTCATTAAAACCAGTTTAATTAGAAGTCAATTATTTAAATAACTACAACTTTAAAGCCTGTTAGAGTTTATGTAAAGACCACAAGAACCTCCTCATAGACTTGTAGAACCTAAAACACCAGAACCCTCAAAGCCCGCCCCAACTGGAACCATCACATCACCTGACGTTTGTCACCATCAGTTATTTTTACAGACTAAAAAACACACGTAGAACCTGCAAAACCTGTGGAACCAGAACACTGAGGGGGAAAGGTAGACGCAGAGAGACAGGTAGACAGCTTACAGAACTCTTAACAGACGAATCTTTCAGTTTTAATAAACTTACTTTTCTTTCTTTTCCTCCTTTTTCTTCTTCTGGTTGTACACCTGCGGACAGGTGAGCTGCGCGAGCCTCTTTCCTCTCTTTTCACTTCCGCCTCACCTGATTCTCCTAACAGCCCCGCGCGCGCTACCGGAAACCACACACACACGCAGGTCACGTGATAACAGAGGACTCGAGCACACCTGTGCAGGTGAATGCCTTGAGCGACGTCACACAGGTGACGAGCAATAAAGTAAACGTGGCGTTGTCAGGGAGACGGGCCGCGCGCGCACAGCCCCTGACTGAAGGGTGTTGGAACAGCTGGGCCGCGCGCTCTCCGAGACCTGAGCGTTTACACCCTCAGTTTAGTCTCTCAGGCAAAGAACGCAAACGTCACATTAATAATTCCATTAAAGAACTCGTTTAAAACTTCCACTAATGTGTATTTTAAAGTTCCTGTCTGATAAAGAGATTATATTACTTTATGATTATAACATTCAGGTATGAATATGTGATCAGATATTAATTTACAGCACATTTAATTCAATATTTAATATTTAATTCAATATAAATTAAATATTAATATTACTTATTGTAGTAAAACAATAATGTAGAAATAGAATGAAAGCAACAGCTGAAATAAAAATAAGTTAAGACGGGACTTGAAAAAAGACTAAAAGTGACAAAAATGTAACTTTTATTTTATTTGCTCATTTCAAGTTTCAGTGTCATTTATTGTTCATATTTCATAATTTTGAGTTTTGTTTTTGTATATAATTCCTCCTGTTTTGCAGACAGACTGGAAACCTTCCCACAGTCACTTTCTCACAGTTAAACGTGATAACGTTACCTCTTTATTCCGAATCCCTGCAGGGAAATAAACTGCCGTCCTGTGGGAGGTCAGAGGTCACCAGTCAGGGGAATAAACCGCCGAGCGGCCATATTGTTTCTCCACATCATTCCTCCAAAATAAAACGAAACAATTAGAATAACAAGAATAATAGCTGTAAGTTTAACGAGAGGTTGAGTTGACGTGGTGACCGTGGGAGAAGTCAACGCTTACACACACAACACTTAATCAAAAACATGTGTTCTGACTCACAAACACACAAAAACATCTCTAAATCATGAAACATGAAGAATAAAAGACACGGAAAACTTAAAGAAACAACCAAAGAATGAACCGAATCACTGATCACACAAATAGTCAGTTAATGATGAACCAGAAGAGATAAAAGCTTTGTGTACACTGTGTAGTAGTAGTAGTAGCAGTAGTACTTGTAGTAGTAGTAGTAGTAGTACTAGTAGTAGTTGTAGTAGCAGTAGCAGTAGTAGTAGTTGTAGTTGTAGTAGCACTCTTGAGGTGCTGCAACAGTAAAATGAACATATAGTAAGTAGAAATCAGAGGAAGAAGTACTTTTGTAAAAGTCCTGCATTCTGAATTCTACAAAAGTATTACCAAGAATATGTACGTATAGTTTCCAAAGTAAAAGTACTCATTATGCAGAGTAGTCTCCTTCAGCGCCCTGAAATACCTGTGTGGGTGTACACGTAGTAATACATCGTATTTTATGAGCTGATCGTATGTTTTCTGTGTAAAATCAAAGCAAATAAATGTAGTGCAGTAAAAAAAGGACAGTATTTCCCTCTGAGAGGTAGTAGAGTAGAAGTACCATGAAACAGAAATACTCAAGTAAAGTACAAATACCTTTTGGTGAACCTATTCTTCACCTGGATGTAAAAAAGATACTTGTAGATTTAAAGGCTGTGGTGTTGTCACTGATTCAGCTTCGGGTTGGTTGGTTGATTGGTTGGTCGGTGGGTCGGTGGTTGGTCGGTCACTCGCTCGCTCGCTCGCTCGCTCGCTCGGTTGGTTGGTTGGTTGGTTGATTGGTTGGTCGGTTGGTCGGTCAGTCGGTCAGTCGGTCGATCTCTATGCTTGGGTTACAGCAGCTTAAACCTTCATTTTAGTAGCTGGAGTCTGGTTTTTAGGGTCTGGAACTTCCACGGGGCCACATTAACTTTATTAAATGTGAACACAAGTCCGGTCCATCAACCACCGACCCTGAAGGCAGCAGCCGTGAACAGCTGATTAGTCTCAGAAAGTACGTGTGCCTCTAATTACCACAGGACATACCAAACCTCATCTCATCCTCCCATGTCACAACATTTACAAGTATCTCATCTATTTAAAGAATAAAAACAATCATGTGTTTTCCCTCAAATGTGGTGTTTTTGTTTTTGGAGTCATAACAAAACAAACTCAAAAACCTCATCTGAGCACTGAATACAGTATTAATATATAATCATATAAACTTAAATCTACATTTGTATTGTGGTTATTAATGTGAATCTAAAATCTGATCTGCTAACAAACACAATTATTATTTTTTCTTCTTTAACTCAAAATAAATTTAATTACAAATGTGAACAAAGCAAAACAGCAAAAACACAAAGAAAGGTAAATCAAATAAAAAAGAAGTATTCAGATCATTTTAATAAAGTAAAAGTACCAATATCACACTGAAAAATACTTGTATTAAGTATTTTCAGCTTCATAAAGTATCAGTAGTAAAATACACAAATATTAAAACATTGATGTAAAGTATCAGTATTGAAAGTACAGTTATTATTAGTATTATTATTATTATATTAAGTAACTGAAGCCGTCAGATAAATAAAATGTAAAAGTATAAAGTTGCATTAAATGGAAACAGAGAAATGTTTGTATGTTCTATGTTCTCCGTCATCCTTTCTTCTTCTTTCCTTGATCTTGATGTTTCTTTTCATCTCTATAAACATAATTCTCTCTCTCTCTCTCTCTCTCTCTCTCTCTCTCTCTCTCTCTCTCGTTGTTATCTTCTGCCTCAATCGCTTCTCGCATTAATCCTGCCTCTCTCTTTAAATAGCCTGCTGGATAAATACCAGTCTCACTGCACTCATTTGTCTTCTTAATGTGTTTCCACTGTGTGTGTGTGTGTGTGTGTGTGTGTGTGTGTGTGTGTGTGTGTGTCAGGACAAACTACATCCATAAACCAGTTCAGGCCTCCCAGTCCCACAAGTCAAAATCATCCAGTTTGAGTCATTTTTCATGTCCTGTAGTCCGCTTTAAATTCTCCTACAAATCATTTTATGTCCAACGAGTTGATCTTCCACACAAGTCTTTTCCCCGAGTGCTTCCGGTCTTCTGCAGATCCTTCACATTCAGAATCCCTTCAGGAGTTCCCTTAAGATCCATGAACGAACCCACAGCTTCATCGAGCTTGTTTCCTGTCTTTATGTGGTTTGTCAATTTGAGAGCATGACTCATTCATCTCATGGTCAGGTTTGGAGCATGCGTTCCCTCATAGACCCTGTTACTCACATAGATCCTTCTTGCACTTAGATTGGCTCTGCTGCTGCTCAAAGCGTTAGCGTTAGCTTTCCTGCGCTCCAGCTTCAACCTCCGGCTGCTTCTGCAACTGAAACATCTGCTCCAGGTCTTTCCTCTGCACTTGGATTTTGTGAAACAACAATGTCAAAATTCTCCATTTAATATCATCTTCATTCTCCACCACATGCTTAGTCAGAGTTGAAAGTTCACAGTCCTCTAGAAGCCGTTTCCCACCTCCTGTAGACTCCTTCGTCTATCCGTCTAGTCCTCCTCCAGGTCCTCTATAAGCTGTCCTCCAGGTCCTCTAGTGTCCTTAGCTTGTAGTAGTCTACGGTGTTCCCCCTAATGGTGGAGTGTAGGAAGTGCATCCCAGACCACCTGGTTGACACTCACCTGAGATATCTCAGAGGGCAAATCAAGACTCGGCTGTTAACTGGAATCTGAGACAATTAGTGACAGGCTGTTAACGAGCCTGTCTCTCACACACACACACACACACACCACCACCTTTCCTGTCACTGCTCATGCTAGCCACGCCCCCGAGCTGTCAATCAAATGTATCCTCCCACTATGTGCATGTGTATAAAAGTGTGTTTGTTTAAAGTACACAGTGTGTGTGTGTGCGTGTGTGTGTGTGTGTGTGTGTGTGTGGACACAGCAGCACAGACCTGGCAGAGCTTCAGGTGTAATTCATCACAGATTACTCGTTACCTGCCACAGCTGTTAGTCATCTCACAGCTCCTCCCACAATGCTTCTATTGTATCTGCTGCCGTTTATATAACCTCAATAACTTCATTTAAACCGGTAGGCTGCCCACAGCACACACTCAAGCATTCTTACATATAATATATAACTCCTTCACCAGCAGATGACTTTAAAAACACCAGAATCAGCTCGAGAAATAAAGAAATAAACCGTAAATGAACCGTAGAAACGGTTGGAAGCGTTGTGTTTCAGTGAGCTGTTGAGCTGGCGGTCACATTGTGCACGACAGGAATGTACTCGTCATGTTTTCCTTGTGTAGTAAATGTGCTCCGACTGCATTCCATGGTGCATCCCTGTGATGCTTAACGGCAATAAATGATCATCGGATCCTACAGAAACAAACGTCAGCTCGCTTTATGGATTCAACAGATTATAGCTCAATACAATTAGCATTAGCATTACGGCTCATTTAAACTAAATCAATCTTTTATTTATCATTCGTGCCTCAATGTTTCATTTCTTTACACGAAAGATTTTGGAGATTTTTAAACTTTTTTTATCAGTTAATTAGAGTTGATTTGATTTATCTGGTTACACACATTTTGAAGTTATTGTTCCAGTTCTTAAAATGAATCAAACTTATCGGAGAGTTATCATAAAAGCAATGATGTTAAAGTTGAAAGATCCACACAGACAACAACATCCGGGCTTTGACTGCAGCGTGAGACCTTTGTTGCACGTCTGTCCTCGACTCTGTCAGATAAAGGCAGAAATAACCCCAAAATATCATCGATGAGATAAGAATAGGAACCACGCTGAAAAGAAATGAGGTTAAAAGGAACCAGAACCTAGCCTCAGTACGGTCACGTGGACTGTGGGAATCAGGATTTGTTCCTGTGATCATGTGACTGGTTTGATTCCCACAGAAACACGTCCATCAGGATCAGACAGCAGGCCGATGACATGAGATAAACTAATTCATCATTTGTCTTCTTTTACTTGTGCATGCCAA